ATGAGCGGAAAAAGGGAAGTTGGGAGCAGATCTTAAGAGGACAATGTATAGCAGGTCAAAGAGAGTGAAAATACAAGAGCTAGACTGCAGAACATGGCCTGGCTTCACCTTATTAGAGGCTTTACAGAGCAAGAACAGGAAGGGTGATCTATCAGGAAACCATGGCAAAACTTCAAGTGATCATGAGAGGGAACCTGTCTTGCCTCAAATGTTGGTCCTGAGAGTTCTGTAGGGGAGAAAGCCAAACCCAGGTCCCCAGTGGCCTCCAGGTTTTTAAACCCCACCTGTGGGAAGGAAAGATGTATCATAGGCTTGGGAGCCACATAGTTCTATGTCCCATGTAGCTGTGTAGCCTCAGGCAGGTCACAGCCCCTCCCTGATCCTGGTCTCCTCATTTGAAAAATGAGGATAACAATAACACCCACCTGGCAGAAATTCTGTGCAAATGAGATAAGAAGCACTACTGCATAGTGGATAAGAACATTGCAGACCCTGGAGTCCAACTACCTGGGTTCCATCTAGCTCCTTCGCAGTTCTACCACTTATTCATTAGGTGACCTTGGGTATATGACCCAACCTTTCTAAGCCTCAGTTTTCTCATCTGTAAAATGTACAATCCCTACATGAAAGGATTCATGTGAAGACAGAATGAATTACTACACAGAAAGCGCTTAGAACAAACAGTACCTGGTACACAGTAAGTGCAGTAGAAAAACGTTAGCTATTATTACATAAAGCCACATAGTGTGGTGCCTTGCACACAGAAGGCTGAGACTTACTCAGTACACGTGTGGCCTCTTCACCATGCTCCAGGCCTTTACTCTGCTCCCAGAAAATTCAGAGGCCACAGTAGGCAGGTGTAGGACAGAAAAAGAAAAGGTAGGAGGTGGCAAGCCTGGGTCTAGTGTCTTCCTCCCACTGCCCCCCTCCACTGGACACTGGAGACCACCCACCCTCCTTCAAAATCTTTCTCCCCACTGCTCAGGTCCCCAACCAGTAGCTTGGCCTACCCTGATCCCTCTGTCCTCTGAGATACTCCATTCCTCCCTTGCTACTCATTTTGTCCTCTGCACCATCGCCTAACTTAGCCTGCAATCCTGTCTCCCTGGCTGGTGGGAGGGGGACTCTACAAGTGCCAAGAGCTTGGTGTTTGCTCAGTCTAGTGGCCCCTCCTGCTCTGTGCACATAGCCAAGAAATATTTGTGGATGACAACAACCCAGTTCTTGCCCCAGATCTAGACAGAAGACTCCTCTAATTCTCATTAAATCCAACATTATCGTTTCCTCCCTAACCAGCATAATGCTCACAACACGGTTGGGGGGGATGTTTTTTCTTCCTAGGAGGAAGAAAAGACCACCACCCAAGGAAATGGACTCCAGACCCCAAAGAAAACAGACTTCCTAGAGCCTGTCCCTGGGCTTATTTGATCCCTTTGGTAACCTCAGCCCTTGTATGGAACATGCTGACACCCCACTGCTTGCAACAGCCATGTGGAGACCACACACTGCCCAGGCTGTCAAGAACACCAGGATGGCCCCTTCAGTTGCTGTCCCCAAATGTGAGCCAGCTTGCAAGGTGGGTGGGAGCAGAGGATATGGAGAGATACCACCATACCAGTTACAGCCTACCGCCATCTACAGCAGAGCCGGAGCTGAGCTCATGCAAAAAAATGCAAGGGAACGCAACAGCAGTGCATTCAGCATGGGGCACTCAGCAGTGGCACCTAGCACTCCCATAAATCATTCCAGGTGCCAGAACTACAGGGGAGCCAGCCCAAGATCAATGACGAAAGTGCAGCTCTTCTCTAATCATGGGAAGGGGCAACAATTCCAGGTAAGAATTCCAAGAATCTGAGCATTAGTCCAGATCAACAACTACTAAACAAACACACAAACAAAACCCTCACGTATAGAGGACCAGAAGGACATAAGGACTCATGCTGCTCTATGCAGCACTAGGGAAGCCACACCCAGAGCACAGCAGAAGAGATCCTGGCACCCTGGAACCTGTCCAGAAGAGACAGTGTGGGAGGATGTGGGAGCTCTGGGTGGCTGATGTGGATGTGGATGGCCATGACAGCTGATGTCCAATGCAGGGGAAGGGAAGTTCACAGGATGGGAGTCTGTTGTATTAGTAGCATGACCTCCGGTGGGCTTCGCTTTTTGGAGCCCTCAGTTTCTTCTGTTGTAACATCTGAGTGGTGGTGACAAATGCACAGGGTGGTTGGGAGGGATAAAGTCCCTAGGCAGAATGGCCCCCCAACAAGCTGCAGGTCAGTCCAGGCCCTACTCTCCCCTCTTTGTCCACCAGAGGGAGCCTGGGGACCAGGAGCGCCCAGCCTGTACCAGCTTTGCCTGTCCTCCCCCAATGCTGCAGCCTCTGCTGCTGAACTCCCACCCTGCCTGCCTGCGCTTCCAGTGCAGCCTTCTCACCCACTCCTTATAAACCCAGAACAGGCCTAGCAGGGGGAGTCACTTGCAGCAGAGCACAAGCAGCACTGCTAGGTCCTCCTGACATCTGGCCTGGTGAAGAGTGGAAAAAAGGAAAAAACCTTCTTCCCTCCCTGTTCACATCCCTACTTATCCCAGACTGATCTCGTCCTGTTCAAACCCTCTAGATATCTAAGGCTCTCTTGGCCGCTCCCAGTTCAGTACCTGTCGGAGTCCTGAGGCTAATAGACTCCCGGGGATTGGAGAGCTTGAGTGAACACATAACATGCCTTGGAGACAGGCAGACTTGGGTTCTAGTCTCAGCTACATTAGCAATAACCTTGAACAAGGTCCCATCATCTTAGAGCCTCAGTTTCTCCATCACTAAAATGGAGTTGCTAATACTCACTGCTCACTGTATAAGGCTTGTCATGAGGACCGAAACAGACAATCAGGTATGTACAAATAGTTAATATGTGGTTAGGAGAGAAATTCAAAGTACTACCTAAACCCCTTTATTAATCCAATAGGAAACGTGAAACAAGGAAATCCAACAAGCAACCTGGAAGGTACACAAAAAGAAGGAAGGATAGAGAGGCAGGCCTGCAAGGATGGCAGAAGAGCAAATGGGCTTCCAGCCAGCTGAGAGATTCAGACCTGTGTCTGCAGGATGGAGGATGGAAGGGCAGTGACAATCATCTCACTGAGCCTTATACCCAATTCAGGAGTTATGCTTTCTCCAGCTCTCTCAGACTCCCTCTTGGCCTCTGGTGGGCATGTCCAGCCAGTCACTACCCCCATCCACTGAGGCAATCTACTGCATCACCACCAGCCAGGTTGGAAAGTTCTTCCTGATTTTATGTTCCCACTGTTCCTGATTCTGCTCCCTGGAGCCATACATAATAAGGCTGCTCCCTCTGTCACAGGCCTGACCCTTCTAGAAAAATCTTCTGTGGTCAGGTTTGAGGACCACAATGTCCCATGCAGTCTTCCTCTACATCCACCCGACACTGGCCCTCTCCTAATTGATCCTTCATCTCCCTGCATCCCTTTTCCAGTGTGGTGCCTCAAGGTGCGCAGTCAGTCCTCTGGAAATGGGCTCCCTGAAGCCCTGTCTGGGCATGGGCGCCCTTTCTATGGCCCCCAGTCCCCTCTGGGGCAGTCCACCCCAAGACTTAGCTGAGAGTATGCCGCAGTGGAGCCTAGATGAGCCCTCAAGCTGCAGCTGCTGCTCCTGGGGCTCAGCCATCTCAACCCAGCACCCCAGCCTGCTGCCTCACCATGGGGGAGTTGCAAAGAGCTGTCTCCCAGCAGATTTCCTGAGGCAGAAGGCTTCCCCACCCCCAGCAGAGCTTCCAAGAGACACTCCACTGGTTGTGGCACATGGTAGGACCAGCTGAGCAGTGAGAGGAGGGGGAACCCTGTCCATTTGCTAAAGGACTTCAAACTTGCTCTGTAGTGTGGCTGGATTAGTCACAGAACCATCAAGTTGAAGCGGGAGGGGTCCTTAAAGAGCATCCAAGACAGGCCTTGCCATTCAAAATGATCCAGGGGAATTGATGACTGAGAGAGGAAGGGACTCAGTCAAGGTCACAAATCCAATCTGCAATGGACCCCAAAGGGGATACCAATTCTCCTAATTCCCAGTTCAATGTTCTTTCTGATAAGGCAGAAAAGCAATAAGGGAGCCTTTAGGGCATCCCTGTAAGCCTGCACACCCTTGATTCTCAGCCTGATACATTTATCCCAAACAGCACACTATGGGATCTACATGGAAAAAGTGAACCCTGCCCATGTCTCACCAACCCAGGAAATATTGCCAGGGTGTCCCAAACAGACACACAGACACACAGGAACTGAAGCCAATCCAACAGAGGGGAGATTTATAGACTTCCCTTCCTGGTAGGGCTCTTTAAATGGGTGTTGGTTTTCTTGAAGGGTGGAGAGGGGGTGGACTTTGAGGAACTAGCCAAGGGCCTGGCCTCCATCTTTGCTCCCCCATTTTTGCTCCCCCTCTGGCCAGGATGTACTGCAGTTCCCCTCAGAGGGATGTCTCAGCCTCCAGCAGCCATTCTGGTCCCCACCTGCCTCTCTTGCAAAGGATGGAGCAGAGGCGGGCAGAGGAGACAAGATCAGGCAAAAAGAAAACAAACATAAAAGGAAGTGTGTGTGGGGGGGGAGGTTCTCTCCCTTGGGGCTCTGAGTTGACACCATCCCTGATGATAAAAATCCCAAGCAGCACAGCCAAAATAAATAAATAAATGAAAATGCATCCTCTGGCAAGGATACAGCTAGGGGTTGAAGAAGTGGAGGGGAGCAGTGATGATTGCTCTAGTCCCTCCCTGGCCTCAGTACCTGGGGAGTGATGGGGGGGAAGGAGACGCTTGCACTCATCTGGCCAACTCAGTGTGTGGTGGCTAAGGCAGGGGTGTCAGCTGGATGAGGAGAACCTGGCTTTTCCAGGTTAGGGCAGGAGAACAGGACATGGAATCAGGCACAGGCTTCTTACTTTATCTGGACAAGTTGCAGAGAGATGGGGGGGGAGGGGGAATAACAAACACATTCCTTACTTTCTCTGGAGGGTTGTAGCCGGGCTGGTGCTGGTACTGGTGCTGTGGCCTCCACCGGCGCCTGGGCTGGAGCTCCTGGATGCGCCACGGCTCAACTGGCCGCGCTCCCGCGGTGGCCGCGGCCCCACGCCCACCGCCGCCGAATAGCCAGCTTCCTTCTCACGGCCGGGGTGCGCTGGCCCAGCCTCCCGCCCGCCACGTTCGCGACCCAGGGCTGGGTTCTCGTGGTGCAGGTGGCACTGAGCCACCTCGCGCTCTCGGGCGGTGTAACCGGTAGTATCCTGGAGCGGATAGGAGGCGTCCCGTTCCTTGTCCCGATACACAGCCTCCCGGTTCTGGTAGGCGCCGTCCCGGCTGGGGTAGCCCACGTCCCGGGTCGCCTGGTGGAACTGGCTCTCCCGCAGCTCACGGTGGTGAAACTGAGTCTCGCGCAGATTCTGGTACTGGCTCTCGCGGCCAGGGCTATCCCGCGCACCGTGGGGGTCCCGGTGCAGCTCCCCACGGTGCAGCTGGCTCTCCTCTCTCAGGTCGCGGTTCTCCTGGGTGAGCTGGTCCAGCTGGCCCTCCAGCTCTTCGATGCGCCGCCGCTGAGTCTCCAGCAGCTGCTGCTGGCTCTCAATGATGTTGTTCAGCTCCAGCAGGTACTCCACAGCTCGGTTGGGGCTCTCGGATCCCGGGCCGCCTGGGGGCCCCGACCCCGCCTCCATCCTGGCGGCCCAGGGGCAGGGGAAGGGGCAGGAGAGCCCAGTTCCCGCTCGCTCACGGCGCCACCCTCCCCCGGGCCCAGCCGGGGGAGGGGGCCGGCGGGACGCGAGGGCGCGCACCGGGCTCGAGGGCCCGGGGGCCCGGGGGGGCCCGGGAGACAGCGCTGGGGCCGGCGGCACTGGGAGCAGGAGCTGAGGCTGCAGCCGCCGCCGCCACCGCCACGGCTCGGGAGGACGCGGCCCACGGCGCTCCGCCCGATGCGGAGTCACTGCGCAGCGCGGCCGCGCGGGACCGCCCCGGCCGCCGGCCCGCCCCGCCCCTGCCCCCACCCCACCCCGCTCGCCCGGTCCGCCCCGCGCGCCCCCACCTGCGGCCGCCACCCGCATCGGCAGCTGGACAAGCCCCAAGGCACTGGTGCTAGGCTAGCCGGAGCCAGACCCATCTCAGCCTGCAGGAGATCTCTCCTTTCCAACAGTCCCAGGGTCTTCACCTAACGAAGCCTTCCACCTACCCTGTTCCAACATCCCTTGGTCCGGTCCATTAGGCCCAGGATCCTCATCTCATTTGGGAAACACCCATCCTAAGCAATCCCTAGGTCCAGGCAACCCACGGACTCCTCACCCGCCCCCCAGGTCTGCCTACCCCAACCAGCATGCCATTCCCCATCCCAGCCAACCCCCGGACCTCCTATCTCAGGCAACCTCTCTTCAGCCTCTCTCATGGGCGGTCTCTGGGTCTCTCATCTTAGCCAGTCTCTGGGCTGTCCCTCCACACTTGCCAGGCCTGTGTCCCCCCCATCCTAGCCAATCTGAAGCTCCCCCCAACCCAGGCATTCCCTGGAGCCCCTGTTCCCCACAACGCACACACACATCACAGGTATCCCCTAACTCTGCATCCAAGTCAGTAGTACCCAGATCCCCTATCCCAAACAACCTGAGATCCCCTATCTTAGCCAGTCCCTGGATCCTCCCACCAAGGCAGGTAGATCCAGGATCTCCCATCCCAACAAGTCCTAGGACTCCCTATCACAGCCCAACTTGGGATCAAAACAGTTCATTCAGTCCTGATTTCTTCCTCTCCTATGGCAATGCGCTTCCCATTCATTCCATCATTGTCATCCAATGAAATTGTACCCATCCTTCAAGACGTAAATGCCACCTTACTGAAGCCAACCCTGATTTCCACACTGAGAAATTCAATTTCTCTCTCCTTTTCCCCTTGACCTCCCGCAGAACTTTCTCTCCCCTCTCTTGTGACACTTGTAGGACAAGTAGAACTTGGCTTTATGGCACATTCGTTTATGTTCTTGTTTTACATCTTCTTCCAGACTGAGCACCTTAAAGCCAGAAACATGTTTCAACTTATCTTTGTGAACAGGTAGGTTAGGATAGAGGGGAAAGCATGAGTTTTACAGTCAGACAAAACTGAATTTAAATTCCATTTTCTCTTCTCTGAAACTCCACTTCTATATCATTAACACTTAGCTGACAGAGGTGGTCTGGGAAAAAACATGCAAAAACAATTTGCATAGAAAATAGTTGAGAGTCATTGTTAAGGGATTTGTATCTAGACTATGTAAAGAACTCTTACAGCTCTTCAGAGTTCAAAATGCCAGTACCACCAAAACAAAACAAAAAACCCAGGAACTCTTAGAGTTCAACAACAAAAACACAACCCATTCTTTTAAACAGCAAAAGGAGCTGAAGAAACAGTCCCCTAAGGAAGATATGTGAAGGGTCAATAAGCACATGAAAAGATGCTCAGCATCCTTAGCCATGAGAGAAAGTGCAAATCAAAAATACCATGAGCTTCCTGTGCTAACCATGAGGCATTGTCCCAGGTTCTTGTTCTAACTTAAAGGGAAACTTTCACAATGTCCAAAACCATTGTCTTGCAGACAAAGGAGGACGTCCTAAAATTCCTTGCAGCAGGAACTCACTTAGGAAGCATCAATCTTGACTTCCAAAATAGAATAATATGTCTATAAAAGTGAAGCCAGGTGTGGTGGTATACACCTGTCATCCCAGCTACTCAGGAGATGGAGAAAGGAGGATCAAGAATTTGTGGCCAGCCCAGGCAAAGGTAGTGGTGAGACCTGTCTCAAAAATTAAAATTTGCCAGGTGCTGGTGGCTCGTGCCTGTAATCCTAGCTACTCAGGAGGCAGAGATCGGGAGGATCGTGGTTCGAAGCCAGCCCTGGCAAAAAGTTCACGAGACCCTATCTCAAAAAATCCTTCACAAAAATAGGACTGGTGGAGTGGCTCAAGGTGAAGGTTCTGAGTTCAAGCCCCAGTACCACCAAAAAATAAAAAAAAAAATCAAAATTTAACAAAGGGGATAGGAGTATAGCTCAAGTGGTAGAGTGCTTGCCTAGCATAGGCAAGGCTCTAGGTTTAATCCCCAGTACTATAAAAAAGCAAAAAAAAAAAAAAAAAAGAAGAGAAGAGAAGCGATGACATCTATTTCATAAATCTGAAAAAGACCTTGGAGAAGCTTCTGCCATTGTGCCATTGAAAACTTGGCTGGTGTCAGTGTTTTATCCTCCAGGAATACTGGCCAGTGGCCTCCTCCGAACTTTACTACTTCCACTGGGGCTACTGCTATTGCTGGTCACTTCTTTTCTGGAAACTTCACTAACCAGATCTCGGCAGCCTTCCAAGAACCACGTCTGCTGGTGATTACTGATCCCAGAGCTGACCACCAGGCCCTTACAGAGCATCTTATGTTTATCTATATACCATTACTGTGTGTAACACAGATTCTCCTCTTTGCTACGTGGACATCTCTATCCTGTGCAATAATGAGGGAGATCACTTGGTGGGTCTGATTGGTTGATGTTGGCCTGGGAAATTCTGTGCAAGGGGAGGGACTGTTTCCCGTGAACATTCATGGCAGGTCGTGCCTGATCTCTACTTCTACAGAGGTCCTGAAGAGATTGAAAAGGAAAGGCAGGCTCCAGCTGAAAAGGCTATGACCAACCAAGGAGGAAGTTCAGGATCAACAAACTGTTCCAGCTCCTGAGCTTCCTATTCAACCTGGGGTTAACTGATCTGAAGATGTGCATGTAACCCTCTGTGCTTGTTCAGTTGTTCTCTACTATGGTTCAGTGCACTCAGCCGACCACTGAAAACTGGGCTGCAGCTCCTACTGCTCAAGCCACTGACTGGATAGGAACAACCACTAAGTTGTTTTAAGCTGCCCACTGAACAGAAAATGGAAATAAAATTAATGGAAAACAAATGTGAGTTTCTTAAGCACACAGAATGAGATTGCACTTCATATCCATGATGATAGCTAAAATCAAAAGGACAATGAGAAGTGTTAGCAAGCATGTAGAGAAACTGGAACCCTTATTCATTACAAGTGGGAATGTAAAATGGTGCAGTTTCTTTGTAAAACAGTTCCTCAAAAGGTTAAAAATAGAGCAATTCCACTTCTAGGTATCTATCCAAAAGAAATGGATACATACATGTACACAAAAACTCGTACATGAGTGTTCATGATAGCATTGTAATGGCCAAAAACTGGAAACAACCAAATGTTCAATTGATGAATGGATAAGCAAACTATGGTATAACCATATAACTGAATATTATTTAGCCATTAAAAAGGTGAAGAAGCCGGCACGCCTGTAATGCTAACTACTTAGGAAGCAGAAATTAGGAGGATTATGGTTCAAAACCAGCCCGGGCAAATAGTTCTCAAGACCCTATCTCGGAAAAAAACATCACAAAAAAGGACTGGTGGAGTGGCTCAAGTGGTACAATGCCTGCCTGGCAGCATGAAGCTCTAAGTTCAAACCCCAGTGCCACCCAAAAAAAAAAAAAAGGAATGAAAAGCCTGTTATGGTTGTTCACGCCTAGGGCTGGTGGAGTGGCTCAAGTGGTAAAGTGCCTACCTGGTTGTTCACACCTGTACTCCCAGCACTTGGGAGACTGAGGCAAGAAGATCAAGAGTTCCAGGCCAGATGGGGCTACACAGTGAGACCTTGTCACAAAAAAAAGGAATTAAGTACTATACATGCAGAAACATGGTTGAACCTTGAAGACATTTTGCTAAGTGAAATAAACAGGTCACAAAATAACAAATACTCCTTTTATATGAAATTCCAGAATAGATAAATCTCTACAAATGGAAATTAGAGTAGTGGTTGTTAGGGGCCGGGAGTGTGGGGAGGGAATGAAGAGTGACTGCTAATGGGTATGGGGCTTTTTTTGGAAGGGGATAAAAGTGTTCTAAAATTGTAGTGATGGTTGCAGGTTTTAATATACCAAAAACCATTTTTAATAGTACCTTTTAAAAGGTGAATTTGTGGGATGTGAATTATATATCAGTAAAGCTGTTTTTTTTAAATGAAAACCACCTTGCACACAGCTAGCACATAATAACAAACTACAATAAAAATAGTTAACACTGTTATGTGCTTACTATGTGCCAGGCACTGTGCTGAACACCTTACATATATGAACTTACCTAATCCTCATGACAATCCTTTAAGACAGGTTCTGTTACTACTTCCATTTTACATGTGAAGAAAACGAAACAGGTTGAATGACTTGCCCAGGGCCACATAGAGGCAGAGTCAGGATATACTGCCTTCTCACTTCTTTGTATCTTCTTCCAGTGCTTTGTACAAAATAGGTACTCTGTAAATGTCAAAGTAATATATCCATCAAGTATTTCTATTCATCCAGCAAACATTTGCAGAGCATTATTCATGTTCCAGGCAACAGCTGCATTCTCATGCTTATCCCTGCTTCTACTCAGATTCCCTCTGGGGTTGGAGGCAGATGAGTACTAAGATTCATTCATTCACAAAATATTTAGTGAGTGTCCACTATGTGTCAAGCACTGTTCTAAACAATGAAGATATAGCAAAAGAGACAAAAAGTCCTAACCTTAGGATGCTGACATTCTAGCGAGTGAGAAAGATAATAAACAAAAAGAGGCAGGAGGATCAAGGTCAGCCTGGATTACACAGTGAGACACTGTCTCAAAAAACTGAAATGAAATGAAATGAAAAAAATAAAGTCCACATCCACCCAGAAACTGTGAATGACCTTACTTGGAAATAAGCATTTTGGCAGATGTAATCAAGTTAAGATGAGGCTATATGGCATTAGTGTGGGTCCCAATTCAATGACTGATACTCTTATAAAGACACACACACACACACACACACACACACACACACACACAAATGAAAAATGATAAATAAAAATAAAAAACAACAAAAGATCAATTTTAAAAGATGCTTAAAAAAAGAAAAAAAAGAAGAGAGCTAGGCCGGGCATTGTGGTTCACATCTATAATCCCAGTTACTATGGAGGCAGAGACCAGGAGGATATTGGTTCAAGGCCAGCCCAGACAAAAAGTTAGCAAGATC